GGCGGAACGGGTAAGTAGTTGACGTACACATAGATATTATTATGTAAATGAGATAGCCTTATACTGACGTGTTGTTTGTCTTTCAGCGCCGCGCGCAGTGCAAAATAAGTTCTATGTGCCCACCGCTGATGGCTGCGGTTCTTTGGGTCTGAGAATTAGTACGGAATACCTACCCGCCGTCGAAATGGAAGCATGCTGCAATGCGCATGATATTTGCTACGATACTTGCAATAGCGATAAGGAGCTGTGCGACTTGGATTTCAAGCGTTGTTTATACAGATACTGTGACAGCTATGAAAAATCTATTGCCAGTGATCTAATGATGAAAGGCTGTAAAGCGGCCGCTAAGATGCTATTCACAGGCACCTTGACATTAGGCTGTAAATCTTACCTGGATTCGCAGCAACGCTCATGTTATTGTCCTCCTAGCAAACCAAGTAACTTCAATGGCAACAAGTACACGAATAGCAAGGAAAAACAGCAGAGGCAGAAGTACGGTTGGAAGGACCGTAACGAAATCTAGCACTTAGATAAATATGTTATTTGTTGTTAATAAGTTCATGTTAGTTTTTAGTTATGGTTGTACTTTTTTACCATTTTGACGAATTTTCCTAGCCTAATACCATAGCTAGCAAAGACTCAGTATTTGTTTACAGCGCAGATTTCATGTTTAAAAATGTATAATTTATGATTCAAGCAAAACCTACAAGTTGGCTGAGCATTATGTTAAAAATAAAGAAATTATTTTTAAATTTGGCTCGTTAAATCGGTATTTCTATATAAGGGTCATAGTTATCGATATTTTTGGGCTCAAGACAATAATAAATTCGTTATCGATTCGTCGATTAATTGCTACATATTTTGTCGTTTGCAGCACTACACTGAAACTCTARTTGCATTAACCAGCACTAAAACAACACAAGCGCAGCAAAAAAAAGATTTTGCAACAAACTGAACAAATTTTTTAATGTAGGTTGTCATTTRAAAATTGTTTGCAATGGGCTATGATGTCAATCGCTTTCAAGGCGAAGTAGACGAAGAGCTAACATGTCCCATATGCTCAGGTGTTCTCGAAGATCCACTACAGGTTTGACAATAACTACACTACAACGAAAAACACATTTCATTTTGAGTCTCAAATTATTCCACAGGCGGTYATGTGCGAGCACGCCTTCTGTCGTGGCTGCATAAATGAATGGCTGACACGCCAGCCCACATGCCCAGTTGATCGTAATGCCCTAACTACTGCAAATCTGCGAGCTGTGCCGCGCATATTGCGCAACTTGTTGTCCAGGTAACTATTTTACACGACTCTTGTTTTTCATACCCAACTAATGAGCGTTTTTACAGGCTCTCGATTACCTGTGACAATGCGCCTTATGGCTGCACAGCTGTGTTGAAGTTGGATGCCTACAATTCGCATTTGGAAGACTGCGTGCACAATCCAAAGCGTCCATTTCCCTGCNAAAATTGTTTGCAATGGGCTATGATGTCAATCGCTTTCAAGGCGAAGTAGACGAAGAGCTAACATGTCCCATATGCTCAGGTGTTCTCGAAGATCCACTACAGGTTTGACAATAACTACACTACAACGAAAAACACATTTCATTTTGAGTCTCAAATTATTCCACAGGCGGTYATGTGCGAGCACGCCTTCTGTCGTGGCTGCATAAATGAATGGCTGACACGCCAGCCCACATGCCCAGTTGATCGTAATGCCCTAACTACTGCAAATCTGCGAGCTGTGCCGCGCATATTGCGCAACTTGTTGTCCAGGTAACTCTTTTACACGACTCTTGTTTTTCATACCCAACTAATGAGCGTTTTTACAGGCTCTCGATTACCTGTGACAATGCGCCTTATGGCTGCACAGCTGTGTTGAAGTTGGATGCCTACAATTCGCATTTGGAAGACTGCGTGCACAATCCAAAGCGTCCATTTCCCTGCGAAAAAGGCTGTGGCTTTGACATACCCAAGGACGAGCTCAAGGATCATAACTGTGTGCGTGAGCTGCGTGTGTTGATTGTGAAGCAAACAGAGCAAATAGGCCAACTGAAAACGGAAATAACCGATCAGCAGCTAACTATCAATGAATTGAAGCGAGAACTGCAGCTATTTAAAGATTTTATGCGTGCCATGCGCGTCTCAAATCCGGCAATGCGCGCGATTGCTGATCAAATGGAACGTGATGAAGTGATACGATGGAGCAGCGCTTTAGCCAGAGCGCGTGTTACACGCTGGGGCGGCATGATTTCCACTCCCGATGATGCACTGCAGGTAAATGAGTGAATAATTAATGATAGCAGTTAAAATTGTATATATGTATTAATATGCAACGGTCTTACAGCTGATGATTAAGCGTGCTTTATCGGAGTCTGGTTGCCCGCCACAYATACTGGATAGCTTAATGGAGAACTGCCACGAGCGACGCTGGCCCCGTGGCCTCAGCTCTTTAGAAACGCGCCAAAACAATCGACGCATCTATGACAATTATGTATGCAGACGCATACCAGGTGAGTTTGCGTGGCAATTAAATTAATTAGTTAAGCAGTGTCCCTGACTAAACAAAGGCTTTGTGATTGCAGGTAAACAGGCAGTGCTTGTGCTGAGCTGTGACAACGTGCACATGACTGAGGATGTGATGGTCGAGCCGGGTCTGGTTATGATCTTCGCGCATGGAATCGAGTAATCGAGTTTCTCATGCGACAGCTACATTCAACTAATTAGTAACTAAATACTTAATTGTATATCAAACAGTGCTCAGTTTTGTTGTTTTCTCGAAATAATGCATATACCTAAGCATCAACACACTCATACACATACAAACACACAGACACGCACACACCCACACATTTGTCATATTAATCATTTTAGCATTAATATTAACTCGAATGCACTCTCAGAACTAAAMGCAAACAAAATACAAACCATTCAGCGCCTCATGACGACTTTCAAGTTGTAGTAAAGAAATTTATATAGAACTTTGTTCCCCCACAAACAAAACCACATGTCGTTTATGATGTATTTGCACATACGCACATGTATACCCTCGCACATGTCTGTGTTTGTGGTAATCATATTTTTGTAATTAAGCGATCTCAGCAAACAAACTTTTGTTATTGTTCTCTTCAATTTCGCTGGATGCATTCAATTTGTGTCTCTTATATAATTGTGGCTTTTATTTAAGAAACTTAAATAATTTACTTAATGTGTAATTAAATTAAAAGAAATTTTAAGTATTCCATATTTTTATCAAATAAAACAGAATCTCAAGTGTAAGCAAATTGTATTTGACTTTGTTTAGCTCAGCTGCGCAATCGCATTAAAAAAGTTTATTGGGTTGCATTATCTCAGCTTTACGTTGCCCCCACGCACACACTCACACACATCCCAGCACACACAAGAGTTCTGGGCATCATCTGTTCCCGAAAAGGAAATCCAATAAGTCGCCTAACCAATGCAACAGTAACAACGATATCAAACTGGTTCCTGTCTGAGCTTTGA